AAACTTTGCATGGATATTTATATTTTCTTATAAAACACATTCAGATTACACAGCTTGTGTGATGTTGCAGCAGCGTTTTAGACAAATCACTTAAGGTGGTGCCATTTGATTGGTTATGCATGCCTGGATTTTACAGCTTTGTTTTTGATACAGCGCGGTGGAAAAAGATCTGATTGCTCAGAATGAATGTTGGAGCCAGAATAAAGGAGCGGGCAGGTTTTTGAAAACAAAACAAAACAGGCAGTTGTGGTCCATAAAGCAGATGTCTGTTGTAGATTCTGATGGTGTTTGTGCATCTCTTTTTCAGGTGGTGATCCAGAAAGAACAGATATTTTTCCTGTAAAGATAAGAATGATTGCACCATTATTACCCTTTGACTTTATCCAGACCATGCATGCAAAATACACGTGTACACACCTTCACACTGCCTATGTACAGCATAGTAATGAACACACTGTGAAAACTGTTTTTTTTTTAAAAGAATATGATGCTGAGTTTGACATTTAAGAGCTACACAGAGTTAATGTAAAATAGTCAAAAAATGATCAGGAGTATCAGGAAGACAGGTAAACCGATGGACTGTCATGAAATATTTAAGCTTCAGCTGTACCTGCAGTATTTTGTGCCACACTCTAGGTGATCCCTGCAGCTGGCACCGACTGGCTTCAGACTGTTCCAGCGCCACAACAGTGAACGTTTGGTTCGCTGAATTAAGCCATGCCACTCGTCAGGCACAGGCATTGAATGAACCTGTAAAGGCAAATACTTGATCCTTTAGCTTTGTCATATAAAACACTGATTAGAAAAAAAATATTTCCATGAAAGTTCAACAAACAATAAATAACTTACCTGAACGACACATAACAAAGACAGAAAAACAGAAAGGATGATAATTTTTTCCTGGAGAGTCCTCATGCTGCTTACAGATGACGTTCAAGACAGGGGCTGTTTTGCTGCAGGCTTGGTTTGTGAGCTACGCCTGTATTAAAGGCTTTAATTGGGTTGGGGAGGAGTTACCTTCTGAATAATTCATTAATTTGTTACTTTATTGACTAAGGCGTAAGGTTTGGCAGACTGAGCAAGTCAAGTCAAAGTCACTGATGGGAATCTGTTGCACAGTGGTAGTTATCACACAGCTGAAGACAAAGTTTATCTATGTGACTCCAAAGTACACTTTGGACCTCAACCTACTAAATGAGGCCAACTCCACGTCGGAGGTTTCTAAGTGAAACCCTAACGTGACTTTAGACCACTATGCATTTAGCCATTTGCTCCACCCATGGAGTCTTGCCGGAAGGAACTTAAAAAATTAAATGAAGTTGCTTCATCAGATGTCCAAGATCTGATGAAGTGACTTCCCGAAGATTCCCTGAATTCCCCCCTTTCCCTACAATCAGTTTAGTTTCTGCCCAAACAAAACTTCGAACAGAGAGACCGCTTCCAGACTTTAAGCTAAGCTAACTAATAACATAACTTAAAAATCATTCAGATATGAATATGCAATTCCCACAAATTATCAAAATATTCAAGAATTTAGGATTTTGTGCACTGAAGTTTACATGAAGCTGGCAAAAAGAAACTAACAGTTAATGCAGATATAAACAACCATTTCTAATGGAAAAAAAATTAATTACACCATATGCACCCGTAAATATCAGGGGTTAAACTGCAGTTCACTGACAGACCACTTGGGGCAATATATAAAAATGATTTCATAAATATCTTCTTGCTATGATATAGCAAGCGTATTTAAAGCGTATGCATGTCTTTATGCATCATAAATATTACAAGTTATTATTATTATTACTACTACATCCTCCTTAATGGTTGGGCCATTCTGAACAAAAGTCTTCATGACCATCACCACACATTGATTATTAACATCTATGTGTTTAAAAAAAAAAAAGATTTATTGTTTCACGTGTTGCCCATATGTAACAATGGTCACTAATATTTGTATTCATGACGAATTTTGTTTGAAGAATTAGAAATAAAGTCTTTAAATATCACAGATACATAACAGACAAAAATTCTAATTCTGTCGATACTGAATATGTTTACGACGACCATCAGGACTTGCGTGAATGCTACGGCAAGTACTGCTAAGTTTTATGTAAACCTTTAATTGTTGTTATTCATTCCTATATTACACATGTCTGTTCTGCATGTAGCATATACCGATTTAAAATATAGATGAAAGACAGTGAAGGCAGCATTTTAAACTAAATGATCAGCCTGTGGGCAAACTTTGATCAGCAGCCATGATGTGAATCCAGAAGGCTACAATACAATTGGGTTGTTTTTGTGTGTGTGTGTGTGTGTGTGTGTGTGTGTGTGTGTGTGTGTGTGTGTGTGTGTGTGTGTGTGTTTTTTTTTAATGATTACTACCGGTCACACCAACATTATGGTATTACGGTTTTCCACGTAAACATTAAAACCCAAGGTTTACAGGTTAAGTTTTTTTCTCCTTAAAAACTAATCAGCTTTTCTCAAAAGCTTGCAAAGACAATGACTGAATATATCTTTATATTGTTGTTACAACCAAAAAAGATGTTTTGGTTATCAACCTACATACAGCGCTATATTAAAGAAGGGAAAAAGCAGTGCACCGTAGTTAGTCAGACCTTAGTTTGTCATAAAGCCCGTCTTGCTTTATTGGTCATCTGCCGAGCAATGATTCAATACTTTTGCAATGTCAGACAGGAACTACAAACACACCTTCAGGGAATAGCATAGAAAGTTTATTGTTGAGTCATAGCAAACGACAACGTGCAAACTGTCATACATGTGACCCTAATGAGAGATTTGCGTATAAATCGTGATTATAGTTAAGTACTGATTTTGCCAGGGAGTAGTAGTAGTGTAAACAATGTTCTCTTTTAGGCACAAAACAAACACACACACTCAAAAAAAGAAATTGAACACAAAAGATTTTGTCAGCAAAAAATAGTGACTGAAATAGCAAAAACATCTATATTATAGTGAAACTGTGTGCAACGTTGGATAGAAAAATAACATTTAGTCATATGTGCTCTAAAAATTCATAGGCCAATAGGAAAACAATGTGGGGTTGTTGTTTTTTATTATTAAAAATGCTTCAATAAAGTTATAAAATGCCACAGAAGTTAAACTGGGGAAAAAACAAAATCAGTCTAAGTGCTTCAAAAGTTTTTGTGTGTTTGTCAGTGTCACTACCACAAAGCTTCATATTCCGGTTTCAGCAATGTAAATCAGTATAATTTATATTAACATATTTATGACAGTACTGGAATTAAATGAAATAATATTGTATTAGACATTCACAACAGGAAGAAAGCCATCCTGTCATTGTTGGGTTAATACTGATTGGATCACAAGGAGGACACACATGTATATATACACTAGGGCTGCCACAAACGATTATTTTGATAGTCGACTAGTCACCGATTATTTTTGCGATCAGTCGACTAATCAGATCATCATCCACTGGACGTAAAACGTACAGCTTATTGCACCAGCATGAGTCTGCTCTTATATAACTATCATTAGCTTACAGCTTTAAGTGTTTAAGGTATGTGCTAACTAAAAATAAAGACAAGATGGTAGTTTATTAAATTTTAATGAAATTTGCAGATCGTTTCAGTGCAGTTTAATAAACTCAGCCGTCTGCTCCTTGCTATCTAAAATATAACAGGACACCGGAGTATATTCTCGAGCATCTCACGCTTCTGATAATCAGCTGTCTGCTTGACGTTTATTCAGATGTGTAAAAACTATAACTTTAATCTCAGACAAACTGATTTACTCAGGAACAAATAAAATACTAAAAAAAAAAAAAGCCAAACAATAACATTTTTAAGTTATCTAAGTGACTTATATATGTTTAACCTGAGTGGCGAAAGACGGCGGTGGGTTTGAAAACGATTTGCTAGGAGTCCGGTGTTCTCACCGGCTCTAGTGAGCCTTGAACCCCGGCTAACACTGGAGCTGGTGGGTAACAGACGTCTCCGAAAACGTCGGAGCGCTTTTGAAAATATGAGATGTCTTGATAAACTGAGCAGATATTTGAGGTTTACATAGTTACATTCTTGCCTGAAAATATGTTAAACGTTTATTTTGTGGCCCAAAAAGAATAATAAGAGTAATATTAAAACTAACTAGCTGCCGCCATTGTTGGAAACTGAGCTGGGCCGCGCTATGAATTCTGGGACAGAGCTACTTCTTCTTCTTCAGGGTTTTGAAACGATATTTTGAAAAACAAGTTATGGGTACATATTTGCATAACTTTTTAGGTATATGTACAAGTAGCGGTAATTACAAGTACGAAACATGTACTGTGCTTCATAAATGAGTAATAAATGTAGTACATAATAACCTACAGCACACCATCTTTCTCTTCTTCTTGTGCACTAAAACCACCAAAGTCCTCTCCTCCAGTGTCGGATACGAACAGGCTCAGGATGGCTTCGTCATCCACTCTCCGCTTCTCTCCTTTGTTGTCACTTTCAAAACCAAACAAATCCTCGTTGTCAGTGTCAGAGTCGAACACCCTCTGAAGGGCCGTGGCGGTGTCCTCCTCTCCATCATGCAGCAGTCCAGCCCTTCGAAATCCGTTGGTGATCGTGGATGTTTTCACACTTTTCCACGCTGTCAGAATCTACTGGTGGAGTTGAGCATAACTTGCTTTTCGCAAGTTTACCACCGCTCATCATCCACGCCTCCAACTGAACACATAGCGCTACTTTGAAGTTTGTTTTTCCCGCTACTTCGTACGGCACTACGTTGCCTGGCAGACGGACATGTGACCAACATACCACTCTTGAACCCCGATCCTTCCGCCAGGCAACGTAGTGCCGTACAACAGCGGAACAAACAAAACAAATCCGCTTACGATATGACAAAAATCATGGACAATCCATAGAAAAGCCGCACCTGACTAAAAGCCGCAGGGTTCAAAGCTTGTGCAAAAAGTAGCGGCTTATAGCCCGACAATTACGGTACTCATTCCTGCGTCTTTTGGGATCTTACAAAGCTTCAAACGACGCATCGACTATTAAATTAGTCGTGACTAGTCGACTAATCGTGGCAGCCCTAATATACACTGTAGATTACTGAGCTTGGCTACAACACAGAACATCATTTTAAAATGAACAAGACCACATCGCCATAGCATCTGAAGCCAAAAGGCTGAAAGACAAGCCCAAAGTAATCTGCACTTCGAACAGGCTGCACTACTAGCCTGACTTTTTACATCCACTTCATTATAACATACAACCAACCTGGCTTCTTAATACTGTTTTTTCTTGCTTTTTAAAACTAACTCTGACTCCCAAACTAGTCTGGGAATCTAGTAACTGTTCAAGCTCTAGCCAGTTGCCTTGTAGATAGACACAACGTCTTTTATATTCAGAAACGCAGCAACAGCTCACACATATATGGCCACTTTGCAGTACAGTGTTTTTCCCACTTCCAGGATGTTTGATTAATTCAAAGCTGGGTTGTTTAAGGGGGTTAACTAACCCCGTGTTAATCCAATTCAAAAATCCCATAGTTAGGAGTTAAAATAAAAACAAGCTCAATTTAAGATTGACTGGAAAATCTGGATTCCAGCATCATTACAACTTGAAATGAAGACATTATCCTCCAAACCCAGCAACAAACACAACAAAAAGACAGTTTTTACCACTTTCTTACAACCATGAATGCGAAAGTAGATTAAAATATGAAAACCACTGTATTAGTGTTACTTGAGAATTAATGGGTGAACCCCTTGAATTGTATTGCAACCAAGGCAATCTTCCTCTTTCCACGTTCTGTTTGCTGTTACGATGAGAGCAGGGGCTGTCGTTCGGCAGCAGTGCTCTGAAAAAGAAAAATATAAAAAAATATATATATAAAATGCAAATATATTACAATTTAAAGTACTGAGAGAGGAACTGTGATGCTGCATGAGTAAGTCAGGAAAGGCAGTGAAGTATGTGAGGGTTGTTCAGGACATGCATGTAAGGAGTAGATGGAAGAGATCCTGGAGTGGTGGAAATATGCAACGGAGAGAAGAGGGATTTAAATTCACAGAGGACAAAATGCTTGTGTATGAATGAGACAGATGCATATAGATCGATAAAGATGCAAGAAGTAGAGCTAATTAGGGGGAATGGGTTTAAGGTAAGTTAGAGAGGCGAGGCTGAGATGATTTGGACATTTAAAGGGGAAGGGTAGTGGAGATATTGGACAAAGGATTCTGAAGATGGAGCTGCCAGGCAGGAGGAAAAGAGGGAAACCTCACACAAGGATATAATGGAGGAGGGACATGCAGAGGATTGGTGTGACAGGAGAGAATGCTAAGGATAAGGTCAGATGGAGGCAGATGATCCAAATACCTAAATATCTGATCAGACAATGGCCTGTATTTGTATAGCGCTTTACTTGTCCCTAAGGACCCCAAAGCGCTTTACACATTCACACAATCACACGGCAGCAATTGATTAGCTGCTGATGCTGCTCATGTTCAAACTGAACATCAAAAGGGGGGCAAAAGTTGATTCGAGTGACTTTGAACATTGCATGATTGTTGGTGCCAGTAAGCAGCAGTTCTCTGGGTGCACGTGGCTTGTTGATGCCAGAGGATTGCCAAAAAAATGGCCAGACTGCTGCTAGCTCATAGGAAGGCAACAGTATCTGCTCTGAATAGTCTTAAAATCTACTACAATATTTGAATTAGGGCTGCCCCAAACGATTATTTTGATAGTCGACTAGTCACCGATTATTTTTGCTATTAGTCGACAATCAGATCATGCATCCATTGGACGTAAAGCTTATTGCACCAGCATGCATGTTTAAGGTATGTGCTAACTAACAAGAAAGACAAGATGATAGTTTATTAAATTTTAATGAAATTTGCAGATTGTTTTGGTGAAATTTTAATAAACTCAGCCGTCTGCTCCTTGCTATCTAAAATATAACAGGACACCGGAGTAAACTCTCTACCATTTCACACTTCTGATAATCAGCTGTCTGCTTGATGTTTATTCAGCTGTCTAAAAACTATAACTTTAATCTCAGCCAAACCGATTTACTCAGGAACAAATAAAATACTAAAAAAAAGCCAAACAATAACATTTTAAGTTATCTAAGTGACTTATATATCATGTTTAACCTGAGTAGCGAAAGACGGTGGTGGATTTGAAAACGATTTGCCGGGAGTCCGGTGTTCCCACGGGCTCTAGTGAGCCTTGCCCCCGCCTAGCTAACACTGGAGCTGGTGGGTAACAGACATCTTTGAAAACGTGGGAGCGCTTTTGAAAATATGTGGTGTCTTGATAAACTGAGCAGATATTTGAGGTTTACACAGCTACATTCTCGGCTGAAAATATGTTAAACGTTTATTTTGTGACCCAGAAAGAATAATAAGAGTAACATTAAAACTAACTAGCTGCTGCCATTGTTGACAACTGAGCTGGGCCGCGCTACGAATTCTGGGACAGAGCTACTTCTTCTTCGGGGTTTAACGGCAGCTGGCATCCTTGTACATGCAGTGCTGCCATCTTCTGTTTCAGTCCGTTATTACACTCTTAAATCCTGCTACTTATTCCTGCGTCTTTTGGGATCTTACAAAGCTTCAAACGACGCGTCGACTATTAAATTAGTCGTCGACGATTCTGATAGTCGATGTAATCGTGACTAGTTGACTAATCGTGGCAGCCCTAATTTGAATAGACTCACCCATTAACTTATTTCAGTTAATTCGTTTTTTTTAGTTGTAGTTTGTAGTTCTTTAGAGTGGAGCGCAGCATGGCATTAATTAAACAGGTTCGATTTGTATTTTCTAAGTTATTTTTCTTGAGCATTTATAGGGCTTTTGGGGCATGCTATGGACTAATCTAAGGTGCTTCATAATGAAAAATAAATCAATTTATTTGAACTATTTTTTAGATTATTTTAAATTGACCACATACACCATCATAAATCTGAATGAAAAAAATTGAGCCATCCTGTATGTGCAAGCACTTGGCAGAACCAGGCTCAGGCCATCTGTCCCAACATAATGACATCACACAGTTGCTTATTGCACAAGCTCACCTCGGGGACTTTCTGTTGACACACCAAGAACATGAAGATTCCTCCCACAATGATGGCTAGGCCAATCAGCATGAAGGGAATGTTCTCCACAACGTTCTGCTGAACACCAATCGCCTTTAGCTTCTTGGCTGCTGTGTCATCAATGGTGGCGCTCTGTTAAGACGGTAAGAGAAAATATTGTGTTATAGCACATAAGAACACAAACACAGCCCCTACAAAAGTAAATGGTACATTTACGGCCCTTTCATTTACCGTCTGTTCATCTTGGTGTTCAAGTTTATGAAGAAACTGAGACCATAAGAATTCTATAAACAAGTAATATTAAATTTACTAATTAGTGATTTATATTAGATTAGTCTTCTGTAGCTTTGATTCTGTGGAATCATAGTATCTACCTCTGTATTTTTCTTTTTTTGCCTCCACACAAGTTAGATTTACTAATTTATAGTCTGTCTGAGCAGGATTACACAATGCTTTAATACATAAAAGAGAAAAACACGAGGTACATACTGAAAACAAAAATGCCTCCTTTAACTACAGGGTACTCAAGGGAGTCTTTTCCCTTTGAATCATTTGTATTTAACTGAGAGTTATAACAGAAAATGTATATAAACCAGAGCTGTGGTGTGTGTGTGTGTGTACGGGTATTAACATCATTGTGGGGACCAAAAATTGGAAGTTTACTTTACTTGTGGGGACCGACAGCCCTTGTGGGGACCAAAATCCCGGTCCCCACGAGTTTGAAGGCATTTTTGAGACTCAAAATGTGGTTTTAGTGTCAGGGTTACAATTAGGTTATGGTTAGGTTTAGACTAAGGGTCGGGGTTAGGCATTCATTTTTGATGGTTAGGATTAGGGTAAGTTGCTAGGGAAACCACACGTACGTGTGTGTGTGTGTGTGTGTGTGTGTGTGTGTGTGTGTGTGTGTGTGTGTGTGTGTGTGTGTGTGTGTGTGTGTGTGTGTGTGGGAGAGTGAGTGAGAGAGAGAAAGAGAGAGTTTGTACCTCATTCAGATAAGCCACAGGGAAGACTACTGTCCTTACATTTCCCGTTTGACTGAAAGAGAATGACATGATAATCTTTAACTATGATGTAATGAAAAATAGCAACTTGGAAAACACAATATAATATACTTGTGTAATATAAATATACTTATACAATGTCTTCCCGGGCATGTTCTGTAAATTCATACTATCTGTATAATAATAATAATAATAATAATAATGGATTGGATTTATATAGCGCTTTTCAAGGCACCCAAAGCGCTTTACAATGCCACTATTCATTCACTCTCACATTCACACACTGGTGGAGGCAGCTACAGTTGTAGCCACAGCTGCCCTGGGGTAGATTGACAGAAGTGAGGCTGCCATATCGTGCCATCGGCCCCTCTGGCCAACACCAGTAGGCGGTAGGGTAAAGTGTCTTGCCCAAGGACACAACGACCAGGACAGAGAGCCCGGGGATCGAACCGGCGACCTTCTGGTTACAGATACGCTTCCCAACCCCCTGAGCCCCATAAATAAAGCTTGATTACGTATTAATCTCACACCATAAATTATGTGGAGAGTTACATAATTTATTTTTGGACTTCAAGCTCTGTCTCTAGCACCTTTAATTTGAAACGGAATAACAGATATAACATAAAAGTGCCATATCTGGGCTTGTTGGCATCAAAAGAACTGCACAAACTTTCCTTTCAAAGTTCAATATTGCACAAAAGAGCCGACGCTTGGCTAGGGATTCAATTTGATAAGATTTTACTGATATCAGCCCCAACATCAGTTCTGTTTATAAGTTGGATTCTATATTTACTCCCTTAGGCCCCAGAGACAGGGGGCAGCCTCTCTCTGACCAAAGTATTCACCATTGTGAGTGCTTTTGCTGCTAGCAGATAGCAGCAGTTGCCTGTAGTTTGCACTCGTGTGCAAAACACTCACCAAATACTTGCTAAGTGGTAGTGAAATTAGAAACAGTGTGAGTTAGCGCGGTTAGCTCATCTACGCGTTAGTACCGTATAGCCCTGCGCACGGGGCGAGCCGCGCTAACTCGCAAACTGAGATTTGCCACGTTATTGCAGTTATGGTGTTAACGTCATTTTAACAAGATTAACGCTGGCAGCACTACTTTAAAGTAAAAGCTTCACCTTTTGAAACATGCTGGTGTGTTGCAGTAAAGCACAACCTTTACTTGTCTAAAGATTTTGCAATCTAGTTCACAGCAACCACGAGCAACCTCCAGGAACTGCTTGTCATCCAAGCAGGAAAAACACATTTTTCCCTAATGACCAGAGACTGGTTTCTAAGCCTCAGTTACTGAGGGGTTATGAGCATTTGTTCCATGGGAAAAAAGTAGATTTGAACAGTTTTTTACCAACAGCATAAATACTTTTATTATCTGAGTTTAACTACAGTGAAGAAAGAGAGTATAAAGAGGTTTTCTTCACTGACTGGCATCATTTTCTTTGTAATGCACAACACTGTGGTTGTTGCATTCACAAAAGTAAGTGTGGACTGTGTAGCACCCATTCGAGACTACAGTACCTACAGTTAGCTTACTTGAAGTTAAGAGTTTTCTGTCATTCCGAGTCATAAATAAAGTGACTGTGCAAATGAAAATGAGAATAAAAATCTATTAGAATGATGCGGCTGCAGTGATGCGGACGCTGTACCGATCCATCGTGGTGAAGAGAGAGCTGAGCATAAAAGGGAAACTCCTCCTTCCTGGTCCATCTACGTCCCCACCTTCTCCTATGGTCACAAGTTTTAGGTAGTGACTGAAAGAACGAGGCCGTAAATACAAGCAGCAGAAATTTGCTTTCTCCAAAGGGTGGCTGCCCTCTCCCTTAGACATAGTGTGAGGAGTTCGGCCATCCAAGAGGGGCTCAGAGTAGAGCTGCTACTCCCCCACACTGGAAGGAGGCAGTTGAGGTGTTTCGGGTATCTGACAAAGACCCCCCCCTGGGTGAGGTGTTCATGGCATGTCCGGACCCAGTACACGCTGGAGAGATTAGATCTCTCAGTTGGCCTGGAAACGCCTTGGTTTTACCCCAAATAAGCTGGAGGAGGTAGCCAGGGAGAGGGAGGTCTAGCCTTCTCTGCTTAGGCTCCTGCCCCCATGACCTGGCGCCAGATAAGCGGAACAAAATGGATGGATTCGCAAAAGTTAGTTTGCCAAAAATAAAGAGGTATATTCTAAAAGCAGAAGGCATGCACAGGACAGATCCAAAATAGCCTGGTGGACAGAAGAGCACAAATCTTGTAGATGAAAGCAAAATGATTTGCATGGGAAAGAAAGGCCCCTTCATGACTCTATGGCAAATTACAAATATTCTCCAGGATGTAGGCCAATGTGTTTCCTTGTACATAAAAAAAAAGCCAAACCTCATAACCAGAGCCAATTATCTACTGATGTCAGTACATTTAAGAGACATTGTTAACATTATTCAGTATAATAAATTCTGGTCACTAATGTTGTCTTGAGGGCTCCAACCTTATACATTTCAAAATATTGATGTAAACCTACTCACATTAAAGCTGACTTGCCACTTTAATATAGCTTTTGTTATTTTATCTTATTTCAAATAAAAATAAAAATAACAGTAATATGTAACTATCTAAACACATACAGTCTCATTATCTTGCTGCTAGTTCCTTCTGAATTCAGATAAACACGTAACAAGTGAGCCAGGTCTGTGCAAAAGTCCACCCATAATGATGATGGTGGCATTATTGCTTTACAATTAGCTTACTGGCAGCCCTTCACAGACATGGGTACTCATGCAGCTATTGCGGCTTCACTCTTCATACTAATATAGTGAAAGTGAAATTCATGAAAAATCAGGTTATTCAGCTGCTTGAACTGATGGAAAGAGCTGCTGATTACCTGAAGGTGGGAATTTGCTCTACATAGACGTTAATCTGGAGTCGCTTGGCTGTTTGGAGAACCACTCCTGTCAGCTGTAAAACACAAATTCATTTTGTTAGGGACACAGAGAATGTGGGAAAAACTCCTGTCACTCCTGATGTATGAACACGTATACCTAAACACCTAAATAATTGTTTTCTGCCCACACTGTATTATGGCCATAATCTTTATAGTAACATGTTGACATTATTTGTAAACCAACAAACCACTGGATAGAAAAACACAGAACTATGCAAAGGTTTTTAGTTAGGTACAGAAGATTTTCCATCCATTACATAATACCATCAGGGAGGCATGTGCTCTGGCCCAGATTCCTCATGCAGCTTGAGAATGACCTCAAACATACAGCTGGAGTGATAAAAAGGTAACTTCAGTGAAAAGAAAAGAAATAAACTGAGTTAATCTGAGATTATGTGAAAAAACGGAAGACTGTGAGACATGGCAGCTGTCAAATAAACCTAATTGGGAGTTTAGTCGTTTCTTTCTTCAGTTTTCTGCATTTTGAAAAACTTAAAAGAGAGAAAAAAATCTCAGGATGTATCATGTATTTATCTAAAGTTACCCCAAACTGTTTGCATAGTACTGCCTGTAGTTTTAATATCTTTACTGTAGGCAAAAATAACTTCACAGCTCTGGGCAAGCAGGGAAGACGGCTGAGGGCATCACAACTCAGCAGTTATGATAAAATTCACAGGACTTTGATCAATCTTAATGATATCATGCCGTGGCAGAGTGATCAAGGAGGATAAACACAAAAAAATGGTAGCTTGTTTATTGGATTCAATACTTTTGTAACTGTAAAACCACCACTTTATATGTGGATGTGTGAAATAATTAAGTGTACTTTTGTACGAAAGCGTGAGAGCGACTGTAAGAAGGAGTTCTGTGTTAGACTGGTCAGACTGGTGTACAAAGAGCATCTTAAGAGTGGCATAGCAGTAAAGACAAGCAGAGGTACACCAATCTGCAAAATATCGCATCTGCAAATTGTGAACAAAAATCCGAAAAATACTGCACAATGTAAAAATGCTAAGACTTCAAGTATCTCAGCATCTAATAACATGATCAAAAGACTCAGAAAATCTGGAGAAATCTCTTTGGTGTAACAAAAAAAGAAGAAAAAAAAAGTATTTTCTCTTAAATTTTGAAAACATGGTTGCTGCATCCTCCAGATTCAAGTGGAGAGGGATCATCTGGCTTGTAAATTAGTGTTCAGTTCAGAAGCCTGCATCTCTGATGGTATGGGAGTGCATCAGTGCCCATGGAAGCCATATATAAAGCTATACACAGGCTTTACATTAACATATGCTCTAATCTTGTCTGGGAAGAACTGCCATATTTCTTCAAGACAATACTAAACTCCATACTGCATCTATCACAACAGCTGTAAACCCACTGAAAACATCTGGAGCATCATGAAGAAGAAGAATGCTTTCTGTCTTTTACTGTGAATGTAATACAGTTTATTTATTTTTGGGAATTGCACTTTTTTTTAAACTTTTAACTATTACAGAATCATTCATCGTTTTTTTCTGTTTTCTCTGAAAGTGTATCATGTAAAATTTGTAAAAATAAATAAATAAATAAAATCAGAAAATTAGATCATATAGCAATTGTTAATTTTTGGCTGCTGTGGCATAAATCTTTCATTGGATGGTGGTCTAATACATTTGTTAAGCACTACACAGTATGTTCAGCTACACGTTGTGCTGCTGGAGGTGTTTTTTTCAGTCTGTCTCTCGCTATCAAGACTTTACTACAAGTTCAACCAGGTAATTAGAGTATTATTATCATGATAAGAGCAGTTAGAGCTTATCTTTCGTGACAGCCCTGTACCACGTACCTCTGATTTAATTTTTAACCACTATTTTAAACAGAAGCTCAACTATTGGCTAGTCATGACAAAAAAAAAAGCTGAGACACTACTCCATCTAGTGTTGAAGATTTAATACTATATAAATCATAATTGTATTAGACAAAATATGTATTATAAATTGAAGAGAGATTCACAACAACACGAGAACGAATTAAACATTTAAGCTTTAAAGTTGTGATTCCTACCGGATTGATATCAATGGCAGTCTGGTGCTCTTCCTTGTTTGGCGTCATTCCGAATACATCCTGAGCAAATTTCTCATCTGCCTGGTAGAAGTGTGGTGAAGACATTATGATAGGAGCCCCTAAACAGCAGAAAAAACATTACAGAAGATATTAACAAAGCAGGGACAACATCTTACTCGACCTGAGGAAAATATGCCATGTGTAAAATATACCTGTAAATGTAAGACATCAATATTCTAATAATGCTATGGCTTGTAATAAACACAGCGTACAATTGTCAGGGACACTGCTAAAGTAGGCCCCAGAAATGACAGTCAGTGAATTAATTTCAGGGAGTCTTTTGCTAAGTGTTGACTCCATATTCTTTACAGTGCAATGAGGAATTGATACAAGTTATTACTCAGCACTAACAACCATAGTTTGTTTGCTTTAAATCAGATGCACCAGAGCACATCACAACAAACCACAAGAGAACTTTCACTTCACTTATTCTACCGTGTCTGAGGAGCCAGAAAGTAAATATGGGAACAAGTTCTCGTGCTTTCGACTAGTGGATGCGTTTGTAATGGAGACGGTCTCTGGCTAGCAAGCATTACTCCTTTTGTGTGTGTGTGTGTGGGGGGGGGGACGACGACACACGCCTGACAAAAGGCACGGTTAGCTGAAACTTGGTACAAACTGATACAACTCGGTCAGATCATGTTTTTGCCGCAAATAAACATTTCCAGAGTTCATTGGTTGAGTTATTTTGTTTTAAACACAATTGAAACACAATTTCTTTGTTCTCACCTGTCCACACAAATCACACCATGGGGGAAAGAAATGAGTCTGAACTAATGTAACTTAAAAAGCAGCATATCAAAGATCATTTGGCTATGTTTAACACAGTAAAACATTGTCTTACCTTTTTTACATACAGACACATTCAGCAGGCCAGACCCCAGGCAATTACCAGCAGGCACACAAAAGCCTGCGTTGTCTGGGTTCACAGTCAGATTGGCGAACACTGAGCTGGGAGGAACAAATCGATACCCAGTGATCCCCTTCACTGTCACATCCTCCTCATACACTGTGTACAGAGACCTTAGAAAGAGAGTTACATGCTTGTTAATCTCTGGATGCACTGCGTTACTGGACAATGACACATGGTTTGAATTCATGAGCTCAGCGATAAACTGATTTACAGAAAACCTGCATTGAACAAACTGGTTATACCAGTTTTTCAACGGTTGTGTTGACACCTCTTATTAACCAAGCTGTTAGATGACCTGTAAATGTGACTTCTGTTTCTAATATATTAACAATCACAGAGGACTGACATTTGTTGTTTTAAGCAGCATTAAATAGGCTGTGGCCTCATTTAGGAGGCTAACACTGACCAGCCTTGAAACCAGCCAAACTAAATTAGGATCCTTAATCCAATATTCAGACCAGGGAAAGGCTCAGGAAGGCTGTGGGGGGAGCCATTTCACTAGCTCAAGCCAAGAGGGAAAATACAGCAAATGCTGCATGAGTCAGCAGAATATGGCTTGAAACTGAACTGAAATAACCTTCATATGAAACTACAAAAGTCCAGATGCTCAGCTGAAAAACACATTCAGCTACAATGACTAAAATAGAAACAAACATTTACAATGAATGTTTTATACATTTCTAAATTCAAATAGTTTAAATTTACATTTAAGTTTTTTGGGGTTTTTTTTTAAATACACAACCTTTTAAATTCAAGTGACGTATTAAATGTGTCTTTCTTCAATAAAGATTACATTTTGAGTCGCACGGCTTCAATCCAAATTTGAAGGTTTTGGAGGTTGGCCTCAACATTACTGAAGCAGTGTGGGATCATCTTGACAGAGAATGGAACAAAAGGCAACCGGCATCCAAAGAAGAGCTTTGCATGTCTTTCAAAAAGCTTGGAGAACTTTTCCTGAAGACTACTTCAAGAAATTACAAGGCTGTGTTCAAGAATAAAGGTGGTCATACCACCATGTGTTTCATTAAATTACTGCAATTATTTCCCAATTTACTAGCACACCAGTAAGAGATGAGGGGTGGCTCAACACTTTTGCACAGTACTGTATATGCAATCAAAAGATTGCATCTTTCACTGGTACAGCTTTTCTGCTCTACTCACCTGCACAGGTCAGACGAGAAAATGTAGAGCATATCATTCTTGGTGATTACAGGATGGAAGCCTGTTCCAATGGTTCCATTAATCATGTTGCACTCATCAGACGTCCACCAATTCAAGGAGCTGCACAGATATTCAAAATGTTACAAAGTTCGAAGGTTTAAAAATGTTTCAGACATTTAGCACGCCCAGCTAAAAGCCATGGAAAGCCATTTGCTGGGCAAAGAGGACTGGATATATTTGTAGGTTAGGAAGCACACTATAAAATAAGGGTGTTTCCCAAAACTGCTGCTCAAGGTACAACAGCCTAGTCTTAAAACAATTAGGTTTGTAAGACAGGCAGAGATAAAAGGCAGTGCAAGAAAGATGATCATATTTTGGGGGTTTAGTGAGTACAGATGCAGAGCCGATGGTTGGCTGTTCTTCTCTGTGACAAAGATAAGAGAGTTTGGTGCTTTACCTAAGTAGTTATTTCATTATTGATTACATTTTTTAAAATGATGTTAAAGGGAGAAACATCAGCGTTTGATCCCTGCAGTGAGTGATTCTGTTTTGCTGTTGGGGGGATTTGGCTAACATGATTTGACTTTCCTCATTTAATGGCTATGAAATGAAATGATAATTATAAAAGGTATATAAGCCAAACTAGCAGCCAGTGGTTATTTTGGTCACATGTCTGTAAACAGACTCAGTTTCAGTGTCCTATCGGCGGTGATATAAGAAAGAGAACGAAAACTCAACAGGAACACAGTTAAACCCACCTTGATCATATGACACAAATCACTTGGTGTGCATCCATTAACTTCATGTCACCAACAAAACTCACTGATGAACAATTTTACAATTAAACTGTAAATCCAACATGTGCTACAGGTGAGAGGAGACAATTACCTTTCACCTTTCCACGTGTCCACTCTGGAAAAGTCCCTATAGTTCTGCTGACCAGTGAAAAACACATATTCTCCATCATTGGAAGCATTGTTCTGTAAGATGGGGGGAAAAAGTTTTTTGTTTTTTTTTTAAATATTAAAAAAAATATATATATATGGTTTACACAAAGAACACAATTACACATTTATGTGCATTAAAGAGACCTTATAGAAAAGTCCAAAAACATCATCCAGATCATGTGTAATGGTTTTCAAGGCTTTAAGAAGTCCATCTTCATATCCCCACAGCAGCTCTCCCACTGAACGAGTGGTAAAAAGGCCTTGCCCGGTGCCCTTCATGTAGGCAGAGATCAAGTTGGCTTCAATGAATTTATCCTTGAGTCTTTCCATCACTGTCTACCAGGACAAAAAGAAACAAAAAAGGGAGAAGAACGCCGTTACAGGATTATTAGTTTGAATAAACATAAAGCAGGCCACGTAAGTAAGTAAGTAAGTACATACGTGTATGTATGTATGTATGTATACACACACACACACACACACACACACATTATATATATATATATATATATATATATATATATATATATATATATATATATATATATATAAACATATTAAGAGAACAACTTCCTTATTTAATCTTGCTGATTGACTGAGGTTTTGCAGACATGTGAACACAAACCACATGCCCATGTGCCCATTAACCATGTTACGTGAACTTCTCCACAATTTTGGACAAGTGACAATCATGGTGACAATGTAGGATCAAGTGACTAAGCCCCCAGTCACACAGACCTAGATATTGACCCTCTGGCAACCACCACTTGCTAGGGAAAAACATCTCATCTCCAAGCAAAAACCTCCATTTGACTGCTATCCATCAATCCTCTTCTGCCTACCCAATTAAGGGTCAACAGGTGGATGGAGCCTATCCCGCTGCCATAGGGCGAGAGGTGGGGTACACCCTGGACAGGTCGCCAATATGTTGCAGGGCTAACACAGAAAGACAGAACCATTCGCACTCATATTCACACCCGTGGGCCATTTGGAATCACCATTTAACCTCCATTTAGAGTCTGAATGGAAGTGATAGACTTGTCAACAAATACTACCCAACTACTCTCCAAACTGTAGTGAAACCGTAGAAAGTGCAGCACAAACCAGAAATCTACCCCCTTTGAAACATGTTGACTGTAGCGCTGAGGCAAAACATTACTTTGAAGACAAACCTTCTCCATATAGGAAATGCTCCACAGGAAATGCTATAGGCACTGGGCAACCTACTAGCAACCAGAGCAAGACCCCTAAGAGGTCTTTTCTGCAGCACTTTCTTTGCAACCAACATGCAACCGACAACCAGCAACTCCTGTGAACCACTCAACAACCAGTTGAGGAATATACATGAGCAATGCCCACATGTGAGAAACCTTAATATTCGTCCTAATGTGAGAAAACTATAATACTGTGAGTGGCAGATCAGATCGGTGCTGTAGACTATTGCTCACCATGGCAGGGATATTAACTGTCCTGATGAGGTCACTCTCTGGACCTCGGGACATGTTACGCTGAAAAATGTAGGTTTTAGTGTTGACAGCTGTTACTTTAGTGCCATTATCCTGAAAGTCAATTTGCTCCATAGGCCGGTACTCTCTGTGGAGGAAAAGCAAAACATTTTTAGACAAGAGAAAAGATTCTTTGTTACAGAGCTGCAGCCAAATATAACAACTAGCTTTGTTTGTGATTTAAAAAAAAAAAGCTATAGCATAACTCCCTACTTTGCATCTGCACTCTTTAACACGCCATGTTATATAAAGCACAATACATGAAAAAAGTGTGGGGATATTAAGACATGCAGTTCTTCACATGACTGATAATGTCACATTTACTCTACATGAAAAGTGGGTTGAAGATTGTTCGTCTATTGTGGCTCAATTTCCCTTGACACACATCTGTGCAGTTTGTGACTGTGTTTGTGACATGTGACTGTGATGCAATTATTGGAAAAAAAAGAAGAAGCTTTTTTTTTTTAAACCATAAAACGTGTCAATGGTGAGTTGTTTCTTAATAACTCAATAACAATTTCCTAAAACTGCTTTATTTTAACTGATTTGGTGACCCAGATAACGTATGTAAGTATTTACGTTAGCTTTCAGTGCTACTGAAAACAAGTCAGTGCCAAAAGAGATAAGATGGTTATCAGCTGTGTGCAGCGATATATTATACTATCACTGGGTATATGGATAATATGAATCAAATAAACTTTCTTTTCACCTTACACGTATATCTAGTTCAAAGTGCTTTACAGGTAAAAAAAAAAAAAAAAAAAAAAAGGCAAATTAAAATTGGCATATATTAAAAGAAAATTAAACAGAATAAACTTTAGAACATGTATACACCAAGTGAACAAAATAAGGCCAATAAAAATTCATTTTAAAAACGTAATGCTACATAAAACAGGAAAACCAAACTGTCAAATGATTAAACCAATAAATTAACCTATCAGCGAATAAAAATAAAAAGATCTGAAAAGGGAAAACAATGAAATAACATCAAGTCAAACAGTAAGTTAAAAATGTAAAACAAAGTAAGTAATATATGTAAAGCACGTTTAATCAAAAGCCAGTTTTATGAATGTCGAGATCCTGTGGGTGTGGACTGGGTAGAAAATAAACTGCACATTGACCTTTCATGGCACAATAACACTGAATGTACACAATAAAAAAAACAATAAAATGTGCTTTCGGAAAAATAAACATCTCCGTGTCACAGTTCGTAAGTCTCAGCACCAAAACTAGTACAAAAATGCTGTCTCTCAGGTGCTTACAGGTATCCAAGCACAGGATTGCTCTGCATCTCTTTAAATTTATCTCTAACAACATTCACATGTTTTTTTCTTAAACACACTATAGACCAGGGGTGGGGAACTCCAGGCCTCAAGGGCCAGTGTCCTGCAGGTTTTAGATATCACCCTGGATCAGCACACCTGAATCAAATAATTAGTTCCTTACCAGGCCTCTGGAGACATGTGTCCAGAGACTTCAAGACATGTTGGGAGGTAATTTAGCCATTTAAATCAGCTGTGTTGGATCAAGGACACTGTGCGACGACAGTGTCCTGTGAGAGCTAAGCACACCCTGGGATTCAAAAGCTTGAGCAGAAATGACTTGATGTAACAATTTTCTGTATTGACTTTATCACTTCGTCATATTGTTGTCGAGGAATTTTGGCCTGCTCTTTTCACAGCATTGTTTCCATTCACTGAGATTTACAGGCTCAGCTCTCTTAAGGCCCTGAAACAGCATTTCAGTCAGGTCGATGTCTGGACTTTGACTGGGTCATTGCAACACTTTGATCATTTTCTGTTTTCAACCATTCTGTTGTAGATTTGCTGCTGTGGTTGAGATCATTGTCCTGCTGCACGACCCAGTTTCAGCTGAAGCTAACTGTCAGACAGATGGCCTCACATTTGGCTCTAAAATACTTTGGTATACAGAGCAGTTCATGATCTAATCAATGACTGCAAAACAAGAACAAATCATCACTCCTCCAAAACTGGCTGAAAATTTGTATGAGGCGTTTGTGCTGATACACTGTGTTGGGCTTTCTCCTAAAAGTAGGGCTGTGCATTGTGGCCAATCATCTCTTTGGTCCATCTGAAAAAAAGCACAGTGTTCAAGAAATCTTGTGGTTTGCTCAGATGCAACTTTGCAAACATAAGCTGTGCTGTCTTGTTCTTTTTTTTAGAGTGAAGAGACTTCTGCCAGGGAATCCTGCTGAACAAGCCACGCTTGTTCAGTCTTTTTCCAACTGTCATGAAGTGTAATATTTAGATGCTAACTAATGCCATCTGATTAGCCGGACCTGGCTGCTATTTACCTGCTTAATTACTATTGCAGTGTCTTTTTCTGATCTTTTTAACTGCTCCACAGTTTGCGTGCAGCAGCGTTGGCTTTGTTACTTTTATCAGGTTGTTGATTTTCCAAATCAGATGTATTGTGCTTTTATAAACCTTTTTCATCTAACTCAACACCTTCACTAGTCAAATTTATTACTAGTCAATAAATTTGTATCACATTTATTCTTAATATACATCGTAAGACTGGCACCACTGAATCTTAAAAGCTCCCATTATGGGTGCTGATACATCATTGCTTTGCCTCCACCTCTTAAAATGTTCCAGTAACTTGACACTTAGTTTTTTTTGTTGTTTTGTTTTCTTTAAATCAAGAGATGAATGGAGAAACAAATGTTAAGCGTTTCTCCTTTCCCTCCCTCACCTGTATGTATACGGTCCAATCTCCACCACAGCTGGCCTCTCCCCATCCAACACCTCTTGGGGATTTGTGAGATTGAAGAAGTAAAACTGCATGTAGATATGTGCCGGTGGATCCTTCCAGGCCTCAAACGCATCTGTATCGTTTTTCAGAATGACTTGCTAATGGGGGACAAAGGGCGGTGGGGTTAAAAATGTTATTTTAGATGACTACTGTGCTGATGATATGCAGTTTCACTTCACGTTACACGGTATGAACCTGCTGAAACAGATGAAATCATCATTTGGTGTCATGACACACACACACACACACACTCACAGGCCACTGCTTTTCGGCACAAATACATAATCAACTCATTGAATTTAGCAACGTAGCCATTCTCAAGAGGACCTGCTGAAGTTCAAACTGAGTATCGTAATGGGAAAGAGACGTGATTTAAGTGACTCTGAACATGACTGCTGGTGCCAGATGGGCTGGTTTGAGTATTTCAGGAAATGCTGTTTTACTGGGATTTTCCCCAAACAACTAGATTTTACAGAAAACTGTGTGAAAATAGAAAGAATATGTAGTGAAAGGCAGTTCTCTTGGTGATTGTGAAGGTTAGAGGAGAATAACTAGACCACTTCAAGCTGATAGAAAGGCAACAGTAACAGTAATTACGTGTTACAACCAAGGTATGATAAAGAGCATCTCTAAACCCATAACACATCAACACAACCTATAAAATTGGAAACTTAGGCTACAATTCACACAGACTCACCATAATTGGACAATAGAAGATTGAAAAACTATTGCCCAGTCTGAGGAGTCTTGATTTCTGCTACAACATACAGGTGGCAGGGGCAGGATTAGGCTGGAGCTGATGGTGTAATGGTGTTTAGATATGTTCTTTGACCTCTTAGTACCATTGACTGTAGAAAACAGTTTTCTACAGTCAATGCTTAGTACCAGTTGAGCATCATGTAAATACTACAGCCTATCTGATTATTGTTGGTGACCATGGCTATTGCTTCAGCAAGATAACGCAGTATGTCACAAATCATCTCAAACTGGTTCCTTGAACATAACAATGATTTCGCTGTACTCAAAGGGCCTCCACAGTCACCAGACCTCAATCTAGTAGAGCACCTTTGAGATGTGGTTAAACATGAGATTCACATTATAAATGTGCAGCCGATAAATCTGCAGCAGCTGTGTGATGCTATCATGTAAATATGGACCAAAATTTCAGAGGAATGTTTCCAGCACCTTTTTTGACCATGTGAATTAAGGCAATTCTGAAAGCAAAAGGATATCCAATCTGATACTAGTAATGTGTACCTAATAAAGTGTCCAGTGAGTGTTTATGCCACATATGATACACAATATTTGGTGACAATCACAAAGCACAAATAAAAGGCAAAATGATCAAATGCGAAATACTGAGATGGCATCTATGTCACATGTTAAACTATATTTAGCAATGAATGTTATAAAAGCATACAATACTCTCTGTGCCAATTGTCGAATAAGCAGTGGAGAACTTTTTTTTCAACTGATCCACACAAAATTTAATTTAATTCAACGGTCTACAATACAACAGATCTGTCTAGCGGATAATCACCTGTTCTCTCATGTAAATATTTTTAGACCCTCTACAATCAAAACAGTTAAGACAAACTCAAAGCTCTTACTGCACAGCACTGTCTGTGCCCATTTAAAATCATCTGATTTACTATCCTGGTTTTTTATTACATTTAGTAAGACGTGTTACATTCTGTAATACTTTGTTGAATTTGCGCCATTTCGCTTTTTTTTTTTTTTACAATTACTTAATAGGTCTGAACCATACTGAGATTTGGGTTTTGTCAAATTATGTTTGCTTTTACTGAGCGTTTATTGATATATTATTCTATTTATTTAAACTATTTCAAGCCGTGTTAATTTTAGCTGTGCTACCAAAAGATTTCCGCATGTTTAGGATACAAAATGTACACATTGTGTGATCTCATCTTTTCAACCCTAGAAATAAACACTGCTACTTAAGTAAATGGGTGACAGAACAGATCTGAAATTGTATCCTAAGGCGAGCCATTTGTAAAACATTCAAACCTGAAACGCTTAAAACTGTTAAAAACACTTCCATAAATAATTCCACGCTGTATTTCTTAGACGCTAAATGAGCTAACTTTAGCTACTATGACAATGTCTCATATTAGCTTATCTGAGGTTAACGCCTACTGCAAAGGCTAGCCTAAATTAGATGCTTACCTTTTTAACCATCGACTGTACTAAATGTGGAAACACGCTGGTCAAAACCAACGAAATGCCGAGAATCAGCATCAGTACAGAAACAACTCCGACGCTGTAAACGCAACATGACTTTAGCACCATGACGAGGCAGTAGAAGGCTAAACACGTCTCTCAGCTTTCACTGACAGCAGCTACCCACTGTTTGCTCTTTTTGTTTTGAGAAGCCAGGAACTTGCTCGGTAGAGCAAAGACTCACTTCCGGAATAAGACACTTCGCTCCTACCACATCCGGTTTCATAGACAGTCGATAGGGTCAGTGAGCATTCAGCCGTAAAAAAGAAGCTGCAGTGATTTTAAATAATCTGTTTAACCTTTGTTATGGGGCTCAATGGTGAAATATGATGTATGAAAAACATAACAAATTAAACTCCCTCCACAAGAGCTGGTCGTTATTATAGCTGAACCGCAGAACGAGTAGGCTATCTATCTTGAAGGCAAACATTCTTTGTTTTTTATCTAAAGCAGTAGCAGTTTAAACCTTTTGTTACGGACTTAAAAAAAAAAAAACATATTTGTTAAATATGAGTATAAAATTGTGTCATTCATTTCAGTGCGACTCGGACTAAGCTTTTTTTAAAAACAACAAACTGCAATAAAGAGACAAGAGAAAAAGACAAAAGAACCAAGACAAGCCAACTGTCACGAGGGGCAGGACGGACAGGTTCAGTCTGCGAATCACAAATTACAGTTCTTTATTCACACAACACCAGGCGCTACGTTTTAGGAAGTGGCATAGCAGTAAACAGCTTCTCCACTAGATGTCCCTGTCTTACCATTTACTAAGATTTTTGGTTCTCTTTGCTGCCTCTAACCTGAAATTATAGCGGACCGTATACCGGGGTTGTCATTCGTCTAACCAGACTAAACTATGAGTAACAACGTGTGTCAGTCTTTGTCTCACTTTGTTTTCTGTTTTTTTTTTTCTTCTCTGATCAGAAATTCCCAAATTAGACCGCTTCATTAAAAAAAAATGCTGCTCATTTTCATCTGAGAAGCAGATCAGAACACACTTTATATTAGTTTATTATAAAAAAAAAAATACCAACAATTTAGTAAAAATGTATAGTTTACAAGCACAAAAACCCTAAAATAAGGAAAAAAAAAACTTTGAAAGAATGGCTACTATATGACACAGTGAGCTACAGTATCCTAGCATACATTATCACATCTTAACAAATGACATAAACGTCAAACCCTTACAGCTCAGACAGGTTCACACCTGTATTATTACGTTTCACCGCAGTCCTGTTGCAACATAGACCCATAACATCAACATGACTTGTTCAGCTAGGAGCATTTCTCAACTTCAGAGATGATGCACACTGAATTTACAGCCTGGAGACCAGGTGACACCCTGTGCACAACTTAAACAAACACCCATTCACAATCTTTGGGGCACTGAAGTGCAGAGTCCAGATTTGTGGAGGTTGAATAATATTAGGGCAGAAATGTTATGATATATTAAGTCCTGCTGTGCTGATCTTCACCATCCAACATAAAATACAATCAAAGTTTTATTTCTGTTGCTTTTCTGTCTGGTAATCATCTTTGGGTTTTACTCAGGATTTATCCATACATCAATGTTTTTCTTTCAGTACAAAGTACAACATTTGCATCTAAAATATAGTGAAACATTACATAGAATTACTTAAATAAAGCACATCCCCTTAAAGCATTTGAGTAAATTTCCTGAGTTATGTTCCAAAAAAAAAAAGAGAAACAAAAGAAAAAGAAAAGAGACACTGGACTTACCATAAACAATGCTTTTCGAGTTTCAGGAAAGCTTTATAGGGTTTCATCACTGTGATGTGTCCTTTCTAAATAATAGACTTTTCTTAGAATGTAACATCAGTGGCACATCTCCAGGGGACCATTATTTTACAACATTTAGCTTACATACATACATAAAACATTTGTCGCTGTGGCTCAGGAGATTGAGGTGGTAACCTGTAGTTAGAAGGTTGGAGGTTCAGTCCCTGGGTGCTCCAATCTGCATGCCAAAGTGTCCTTGGGCAAGATACCTAACCTTGACTTGCCTCTGATGCATTCATTGGAATGTGAAAGCACATAGATGTAGAAGAGAGTGAATGTGTGTGTGAATGGAAGAAATGAGACATGTTGTATAAATGCTTAAGCAAAAACATGCTATGTCATGTTTATAATATATTTGATAGTTTTATATAATTACACCATTTTAAATGTCAAAAAACCAAAACATATTTTTGACCTGATAAAAGCACAGCTCTTACGCATGATACCTGCCTGTGGCACTGATGGCAAAGGAAGCTGTAATTGTTCAAAATACATTTTATTTTATTTTGTTTTAACAAATAAATAAATTGTAACCCTAAAGTGTTTTTCAAGTGTAATATCACTATAAAAGCTCGAGACATATTTTTTTTGCATTAATATTATTATTATGTAGTTGAATTAATAGCTGAAGCAGAAGTTTAATGCATGAAAACGCGTGTTCAGTGGGCGAGGGTCCAAATGTTCTCAAATGTGCACCCCTCCGGTGGGGTTTTGTGGGAAATGCCCCTTTAACCACAACATGAATGGGGGGTACAATAGAGAACAGAACAGGGCTCGCTCGCCGCGGTCACGAGAGCTCCAGGGGAGTGACGTCACTTTCCTAAACCGGGCAGCGGCCGTTGAGTTGAGTCCCAAACCAGAGACGAGCAGGAGTCCACCAACAGCTCAACTTTTAATGAATGCGGGCCGAGGAGAGCCGCCGTGAAGGGTCGCGCCGGTTTCGCCTTCCGTATGCTCCCTCCTGGTCGACATAGCTCCACAAAGACTCGCTGTGTTCACACTTGTTCAGCGGCTAATCTGGTTTTAGCTATTTTTAAAAAGCGCTCGTCTCTTCTTTTATGTGTCTCGCGCTCCCCGCGACTCTCGGCACAAGGACTAGGGTAAGTGTGTCCGGTAATTTCACATCATGTAAGCAGTTTAGGTCGAAATGATGCTTAAGAGTTGAACTCTGTGTGAGTCCCGTTGGTGAATTTAAACGGAGCACCGCTCTCGTGTAAGTCCAATCTGATATCCAAGCTTTAACCGTGTCTCTCCGCGTATCCATAATATCCGTGTACAAAAAAAAGAAGAAGAAGAAAAAAGAAATGTGGTTGTTTGATGTGCAGTGAGGCAAATATGCAAAGGTTAGTTGCTTGAGACGCTCGGGTCAGAGATGCTTGTTGACAGCAGTCAGTAGTGAAGTTTGCTTTTCAGCGGGACATCCTGGACAATTATTTTTTTATTCTACTCCCGTGTTTTCTGCTGAGAAATTATAACAGCACATGCCAGTTTCATTGTACGCAAAGCAGGATTAAGGTTGCCTTATGAATGCGGTTGGCAAATAGCTTGAATGTTGGCTAGATATTGCAGGGGTTATTTTGCACCCTCCCACTTCTCTAATAAGACTTAGAAAGAGTTAATCAGATTTTAACTTATGCTTCTGTGCTTTCTACACATTTAAAATATGTTTATTCCTGCACCCCAGACTGCCAGTAATGTTTGCAAAGAATCTCAAATTGCTTACACTGTGCTCTGAGTTGTAATACAAGCAGACCTTGGAAATAATGAAGTAAGTTAGATGCCCAATTTCGGCAGGAATGTGCCAAAGGATATTTGGGGGTTAAATCACTGACAAGGTCATTTCAGACTTGAGGAACTGAAAATTACTTGAGGCAGTCAGGCTGCAAAAATACAGTCGCCAGACATCCCCAAGGGTTCTGCTGTGATTTATAACATCCTTGTAGGAAACGATAGAAAGCGAGGCATCGTAATCAGCAACAGGTTTAAAAGAGAATTGCATGTGGTACTATAAAAGAGGAGAAATTAAATGAAAAAGTGCTTCTGACATATAACAAATGTAGGACTCTTTTTGTCCCTTAGCGCTACACTACAACTCATTGATGAGGCTTTAGCAAACACTGCTCTTTAGTTTTTACAGACTACTTTTTGTCTCTGCTTCTGTGCTCTGTGTTTACAGCTCACCAAGGCTAACCTATGCGAATATAATGTTACAAAAAGCCCAAAAATCAAGTCTTCAGAAACACTGAGTCACATTTAAAATGGGAACTAACATCACAGAGGCTAAGTTTAAACATCTGTGTGGCTTTTTTTCCCCTCCCTTCTTCTTCGCAGTCTCGACTGAGCGATTGAGTGAGCGACTGCATGGGTCGGACTGAACATGAAGAGCCTCAAAGCCAAGTTTAGAAAAACTGATGTAAGTAATGTAACATGTGCTTCTGGCTATGTATGTTTTGTACATGCAACCGTGTGTGCACATGTGCATGTCTGCATGGATGAGTCACTGTCTGTGCATGTATGTCTTGAACAGTCGGCAATGATTTTTGGCAGAATTCCTCAGTTTTTGGACTCTGCAGCAGAAGCCTGTGGCTTGTTGATATTTTGATATTTTCTGTAGAAAAAAATAAATGGGTTTAGAGAACTAAAACAAATCATGATGCCCGTGTAATCCATTTTGGAGCTCTTTATAAACATACTTGATTTCGCTTGGCATGTCATGGGATTTTAAGGGCCCAAAAAAGGATGCAGAACTATTTATTGTGGTAGCTTTTTGCTTTTTTTTTACCCTGCTTGACAACGTAGAAGCTATATGCGTTTCTCTTTGAGTCACTTTGGAAACTTTTTAAATGAATCCTACAAAAACCACAGATACGTCTGACTCTGCATTGCTCCGAATGAGAATTTGATCCTGCTGACTATGAATCATTCTTTTGGGAGGAATTGCTCCAAGGTAGTTCAGTCATTTGTTCGGTCACAGTCTGAGATGCTCCACACTCACAGGAAGTTAGGCGTCTCCACAGCGTCTGACTCATCTTTTGTCACAGTGACCCTAATGACACAGAGCCAAACGGCAAGACAGGAAAGGTCTGCAGAGTTTACTGGATTTAAGGAGGGTGTGTCAGAAGTGGAGACGTTGGCAGCTGTACTGAGGAATGGTATCTAAATGAGACGCTTGGTTTATGTAAACAGTTTCCATGTGATCAAGTGTGTGGTGGGGCAGGATGGTGAGCTCTGATTTAATGGCATGCTCTGCTGAGGGAGAGGGAGAGAGACTGATCTGCAGAGGAGGAATTAGGTGAAGTACATGCACCCTTTTATTCAATTATACCCACAACATGAGCTGCAAGGCATAACACGACTCGGGATTATTG